TGTTCGCGATGTTCAGATGTCGGAAAAAGGCCTGTCGAGGTGGCCCAACAACCTATGTAGATCTTGGTTGTGAGGATGATTGAAAACACAACAATCCAGCTGAGGGCTGCCCCCTACGATGCATCCATCTCAGGAAGTTGGGCTGCGATGATATCGGTTTCCGATTCCTTTCATACTGCCCGCGCTTGCGCTTCCCGCTTTGCTGCTGTACCATGCCTTTCGGAACAGTCTGGCAAAGAAGCTGGGAACTGGATGGTGAAACTTTCTTGTGTTGTGCAAGGCTCCTTCTTTAGACATTCGGCTTCCAACAAGCGCTAAACCCTAAAGCCTTTGCTCCTGGGCCGTCTCTGCGTCGTGACATCCGAGGAAGTTGCAGCTTCTGCAAGGCTTGGGAAGCTTCGACTTGGCGAAAACCCAGTGTGGAAGGGAGGAGGGAGCTTCAAAAAAAAGGGGAGGCCGAATGTTTAAGGCTTTTTGTCGTACTTGTTTAGGATGTTTGCTTGTGTGGTGTATGATTTCTTTTCTAGCAATCCCCAAAAAGATGTATATCTTGCTTGCTTTCGGAGTGGCATAAAGCTGCATACAACCCTTGAGGAGGACAAGAAGTTCATTCATGGTGCCTTGGGCCAAATCTCTATGGTAATATGATTCGCTTAAGCCTTAGATTTGAAACCCGATTCCACACCCTAAATCTTCGATCCCAAAGCCCCACACTAAAACGCCCTCGAAATCGTGAAACACCCCCAGGCGCTATTGTGGAGTGGTATGGCAGCCTGGAAGCTTTCACGACCTATGTGAGGGGCCCTTTGCGCGAAGAACTTTTACTGGATCACTCCAGCAACAAGCTCCCATGGGGGTGCCTTTCGCTGGGCTTAAGGTTTGGGGTTTGAGCTTTGGAGTTAGTCTTCATAGCCCAAACCTGCATGATCCAGTTGCAAACCTGCCTATTGGTTTCCGATGAAGGTTTGCTGGAGTGCTTCTGAATTTAAATTCCGGTGCCGAACAAAAAATGCAAAAGAATAACAAAGATGACGAGGAATTGATAAGACATCCCCAAAATTCAGCAAAACTTTCCCGTGAGCCTTGTAAAAATTCGACAAGACTTGGTCGAGAAATTTCGCAACTGTGGAAAAATAACAACATCGCTGAAAACGAAAGGCAACGCACAAAAAGTAGTGTGCTCTTCACAAACTGAAAGCCAAAATAAAGCCCAAAATCCAGGATGCGGGGCGAACGAGACAGCCTCAACCCGCGACTCTCTAACTTTCAGCCTGCGTTTGCACACGGAAGGTTCACAGTTCCAGGTTTGGCTTGAAGCTTCGGGCCTGTGGAGGTTTACGGTCGCAAAAGCCAGTCAAAGCTTCTGGTATCAGGGAGGATCTTCCTTGACACTGTCGGAGGTATGCTCTGGTTGTGGTGATGCCGATCAGCAGCTTTGGCTTGGATGGGCTCGCGGGGCTCATAAAAGCCAAGGCCTCGACGAACGTCATCCTGTCTTTCTTGTTCGGCTATGCTTTGGGGACCGCCTTTGTTGGCGCAATGCTTTGCATTCAGCTGTTGATGGTTCTTGGCGGCGCGTGTTACAGGGAGCAGACATCCATTCTTGGCCGCGCAGCTCAATCTGTGGTCGTGCTTCTTGCCTTGGGTGCAGGATCTGTCCTTGTTGTCAGAGTTGGTGTCATGGGATACCACGGTGGTGTCCCATCGTCGTGCCTCGCCTTGGTTTTCATGATGATGGCTCTGTGGCTCATCCATGCTGGGCATCGTCAAGCACAGAAGGTACACGCAGTTTGGTGGAGATGGAGGCAGCGTGCTGTATCAGCTGCTGCAGCCTTGCAATTCAAAGAAATCTGATCTCCGTTTCTTGCAACTCGCCCGTTTAGCATTGCAAGTTCAGTGCTGAGATTTGAACACCACATTTTGAACCCGTGAGCTTTGGACCCAAACCCTCGATCGTGGCCCGTGGGCCTGCTGAAAAACAGGCGGCGTTACACAGCTTTCCACCATATATGCGAATTCCAGGTTGGCTTTTTGATCAATCTAAAATCTAAAGAAGCCAAAAATTAAAAATTAAACGAATCTATGAAATTGCATGGATGAAAAGTATGAAATTAACCGCAAAAAGATGAAAACCAAAGTTGAAAATATTATGGCACAATGCGAGGCTACTAACCTCGTCTCAGCAAGTTATTACTCCATCCATGCTGCGAAGTGTCTCATACTCTTCGTACAAAAAAATATCAGATTCATTTTATATATTTAGATTAGATATAAATATATATCAAATTATTTAGATCTTGGCTTTTTTATATTCTGAAATAAATCTTCAAAACTTATAAAGATTCAAAATCTATCTTGGCTTCAAAATCAAGTCGATTCTAGATGGAATTTTTGAATATTTTTGTATTTAGTTTATTGATTATATAGATATGATCTTCTGATTCAAAGATTATTTTTAGATTGATTTCATATATTCAAGATTAGAAATGATATTATTTCTGGAATTTTTCAAATATTTATTATTATTTTCATTGATTTTTATTGAATTCGCTTGAATAAAAAAAATATGATTGGTGAAGGAGATAAAAGACCCTAAATAAAGCACCAAATAAAAAGGCGCAGGCACTAAGAAAACGGGTCCCAAAAGTCTAGATTTTTCTCTTTTTATATGTGCATTTGATTCATTCTATTCTTCCTTTCCTCATTTTTCATTTTAAAGAGATATTACAGGAGCTTTATGATATTATAATATAGAAGAATTTCTGTACCTTTACTTATTAAGAAATACATTACATCTTGTAATGAGGATATGACATAAACTAATAATTATATTTCTTCTGTAAATGATCACAATATATCTCTTTTGTTGCGCAGCCACTCCATCCACCAGCATAGCTTGACATGCTGCAGATGCATAGACAACGACAAGAACAATATTGCGTAGTCTAAGCCATGAACATCGAATAAATTCAGGTTCCGCAACTGCACTGG